AAAAAAAAAAATTAAATAAATAATAAATTTAAATATAATCGCAGACATTTGATCAAATTATATGACTCTATGGCAAAAATAAAGTTTATTAAAGATAAATTAGGGGTTGGCATGTATGCCAAAGATGGCGAATACGTTGAGTTTGATGGAAGCTGTGAATGTTCTGGACAAGTAAAAAATTACAAGGAATTCGGTTTTATATTGTTATTCAATCAAAAATTATTTACAATTATAGGTTGAAAAATGGCTAAATAAATTGACAGATATAATGCGTTCATCAGGCCGTCAGTACTTTAGCAAAGCAGTAAGATCCTATGATGAGAAACCAAGAAGATTATGGATATTTGATTACCCAGCTCAAACAGCTTTATGTGGTGTTCAAATATGGTGGACTGCTGAAACTAACGATGCCTTTAATCAACTTGAAATAGGTCATGAAAACGCGCTAAAAGAATACAACAAAAAACAAGTAATTTTAACTTCTTCTCATAAATATTTTATTGTTTAAATACTAATAAATTTGTTTGAGCTAAATCCAAGAATGCTCAACGCTCATATTTTTTTTCTTAGATATCATAATATTTTAATTTGTGTGCATGTGTACCGACCGGCCACTCACAAACATGCGTCGTATATATATTATATATATATATTTTTGGTATATTAGTATTGTTCAAACTGTATTTTCATTATATTTGTTATTATTATAATTGCGAGTACACAAATCACTTTTTATTTTATTATTATGGTTGTGTGTCCACTATTGGGGTAGGGACCAGCTGGCTAGTCTGCGCTAGGTACCATTGTTGTGAATAACTATGAGTACATATTATATCATATGATTTGTTCATTTAACTATGGAACTATACTACTTTCAAATAGCTGTGTTAAAGTATTTTTATCTGTTAGGTTACAATGGCTGTTGATCGTTTTATTCTCTTGGAAAAATAGGTTAAAATTATTATATTATATGTGTTAAAATATTTTAATCATAATCTATCATACAAGTATCTGAGAAAGCATATTATTGTTATAATATATACCCAGCCCAAACATATTATTATGTTTTCAGATAGTGCAGTTGAATGAACTTATTGATTTACTATTGGAAGACTTGACCAAAGGAGACCGCCAAAAAGTGAACACAATTTGTACTATTGACGTGCATTGCCGGGATGTAGTTGCAAAAATGATTCAACAGAAAATTGAAACTGGTTCTGCTTTTCAGTGGCAATGTCAACTAAGACACAGGTAACACAATATAATACTATATATTTAATTTTGGAGTTTAAACATAATTGTGTTTTATAAAAGATGGGATTTAAAAGAATCAGATTGTTTTGCCAACATTTGTGACGCGCAATTTCGGTATTGGTATGAATACTTGGGAAATACTCCTAGATTGGTTGTGACCCCCTTGACAGATAGATGTTATATAACGTTAACACAGGTAATTTGCATTACATTTCGATTGGGTCTGTATGGAAATTTAAGTATAATGTATTTTTAATAATATAATGAAATACTATTTGATCAAGTCATTTTATGTTGAATAATTATATTTAATTTTAATGTTTGTGCTTTGAAATAGTCATTACATTTAATAATGGGTGGAGCTCCTGCTGGACCAGCCGGTACTGGAAAAACTGAGACAACTAAAGATTTAGGGAAAGCTATAGGAATGATGGTCTACGTTTTTAATTGTTCCGAACAAATGGATTTTAGGGTGAATTAATAATACTATTTATTTCTTAATAAAATATTTTGCTTCCTATATGTACATAATAAAAAAAAATCTCTCAATTCTAGTCATGTGGTAATATATACAAAGGTCTTGCTCAAACTGGTGCTTGGGGATGTTTTGATGAATTTAATAGAATATCCGTAGAAGTATTGTCCGTGGTGGCAACTCAAGTTAAATCAGTGTTAGACTCCATTAAAGCGAAAAAGAACACCTGTTTTCTGTTGGGTGATAATGTTAATCTCATTCCAACTATTGGTATGTTTATTACGATGAACCCTGGATACGCGGGACGAGCAGAACTTCCTGAAAATCTTAAAACATTGTTCAGGTAAGTCGATGAACATTTTCTAACATTTTCATCGTTTCATGCTTGTTAATTTTAAATGTATTTATTCAGGCCTTGTGCTATGGTTGTACCAGATTTTGAATTAATTTGTGAAATTAACTTGATTGCTGAAGGTTTCCAAAACGCAAGGTTACTTGCTAGAAAATTCTTAACGCTTTACTCGCTTTGCAAAGAACTCTTATCAAAACAAGATCATTATGATTGGGGATTAAGAGCTATTAAGTCGTTATTAGTTGTTGCCGGATCATTGAAGGTAAAAATGTTGTTATTTATATTATGGTTCTTTTATTCTTTATGTTAAATTAAAATAATTGCTTACACATTTGTGTTTAGTTTATTTTTGTAGTACTTTTATAACACAATAAATATTATCAATCTTAAACAATTTAATTGTATTCTACATTATGATCTTTAAAGATTTAAAATGCATATTTATCTTGAGATAAATATCATACAATTATCAGATTTTAATTTTAGCGGGCAGATAGAAATCGTCCCGAAGATGAAGTTTTAATGCGAGCTCTTCGAGATTTTAACACTCCAAAAATTGTAACTGAAGATACTACTATATTTATGGGACTTATTGGTGATTTGTTCCCTGCACTAGACGTGCCCCGAAAACGTGATTTTGAATTTGAAAAGCAAGTTCGTCAAGCTACAATTGACTTGAAACTCCAGCCAGAGGATAATTTCATTCTCAAGGTCTTTGAAAAAAAAATTAAAAAATATTGTACGTTCTATTGATGATAATATGAATTGTTAATTTTGTTCACGTAGGTAGTGCAACTAGTGGAGTTATTAGAAGTTAGGCATTCAGTTTTTATAATTGGCTTAGCCGGTACGGGCAAGTCTGAGGTGTGGAAAACTCTGTATAGAACTTATGCAAACTTGAAATTTAAACCGTATTATAATGACATCGAACCAAAAGCAGTAACTAATGACGAGTTGTTTGGCGTAATTAGTCCGACTACCAGAGAATGGGTGGACGGTAAGTGTTTATGCACTGGTATAATTCTTGGCTCTTGCTTGTAGTTACAGTAACATTGTATTCTAGGATTATTTTCGTGCCTGATAAGAGATCAATCACAAATGTCTGGTGATGGATCCAGATGGATGGTAATGGACGGTGACATAGATCCTATGTGGATTGAGTCTTTAAACACAGTGATGGACGATAATAAGGTTAGAAATGTTTTTAGTCTTTCACGATTATTATATAGGTATGCTATGGATAATAAATAAGTTTACATTACCCCACACATACAAACTGTTTTGATTTATACATTATAGGTGTTGACTTTGGCAAGCAATGAACGTATTGCCCTGACGCCAACAATGCGTCTGTTATTTGAGATATCCAATTTGCGGTCTGCCACACCAGCCACTGTTTCCCGAGCTGGTATACTCTACCTAAACCCTACAGATCTTGGCTGGAATCCATATGTTTCTAGTTGGATTGACACTAGGGATAATGCAACTGAAAAAGCTGCTCTTCTGGTACTTTTTGAGAAATATGTGCCCATCTGCTTAGAAGCGCTCAAAACAAAATTCAAAATCATAACACCTATACCGGAAATAACGCACATACAAATGTTGTGCACGTTACTTGATTGTCTTCTGACTCCCGTCAATTGTCCCCCGGAAACCACTAGGGATGTGTACGAAACGTATTTTGTGTTTACTTGTCTTTGGGCTTTCGGTTCTGCAACTTTCCAAGATCAGGTTCCTATAATTAGTATTATTATTTAATGTATTTAGCATTCCCATATTATATAATTAAAAAAAATGTATTTAATATTTATTATATACCTTACATGTTTATAATAATAAGTACATTAATTATATTTTGTGATTATAATACTAAATTTGTGGTTTACATAGTTGATTGATTGGCGAGTTGAATTTTCCAAATGGTGGGTAACAGAGTTTAAAACGATTAAAATCCCATCATCAGGAAGTGTGTTCAATTATTTCATCGATCCTGAATCAAAACAGTTTCTTCCTTGGTCAGATCTTGTATCATCATTCGAACTGAATCCAGATATACCTCTACAAGTAATGATTATATTATTTTATAAAAAAAAAATTATCATCATATATCATACCAATTTAAAAAAATATGATTACAATAACAATGTTTCTGAACCTTATACTATTAGATACTATTAAATATTAATATCCCCTGTGTCTTAAATTATGATAATTTATGTTTTTAGGTCTAGGCTTTCTTGATTTTAATGAGTTATATTTTTACTTAAGTTATAATTATTTACAGCAAACACTAGTAAACACAATAGAAACAACTAGGATTAGATATTTCCTTGATTTATTGGTTGATAAGAAAAAGGCAATTATGTTGGTCGGAGCTGCTGGTACTGGAAAATCGGTCATAATTAATGATAAACTCAAATCACTTTCTAATGATTTGTACGCTGTTGCAAATGTACCGCTTAATTTCTACACAACATCTGGTACTTGAACAAAAAAACTAATTTTTTACATATTGAGATATTTATATTTATGATTGTTTATTATTATTTTATTTGTTTTCATATATAATTATTTTTCATCTTTTATTTTTAAGCATGCGTTTTGTAAATAAAAATAAGTAATACATAATTAGCAGCAAAACTATAAACTCTATGCTTTTATATGAGTATGATTAATGAATTTATATAGTTTTATACTGCTAAATTGTTTTTTATAAATATAACTTATGACAATAATTTCAAAAATGGATCTCTTAAAGCATACAATCATACATATTACTAAAACTTTATTATAAGTCTTAATATTATAACTTATCTTTATTAGAAATGTTACAAAAGATTTTGGAAAAACCATTAGAGAAAAAAGCTGGAAGAAACTTTGGACCACCGGGTGGTAAAACACTAATATATTTTATTGACGATATAAACATGCCCGAAGTAAGTTAATATTTTGTATATAATATTTAATTTAAATAACTATTATATGAATATAATATTGGAATTGTGATAAAAAAGAATATTGACATACAACGACAAATGGTCACTTGTGTAATATAAATTAACAAATAAATCTAAATTTTCCATTTAATGATCTATCTAATAATTTATTATTTGCTATTTGTAATTTTTTCAGATAATACCGATACAAATAGTTTACCAAAATTTGATTGAAAAATTTACAAAAATAGTTTATCATAATTTTTAATGAATCTTAAAATTGATTTTACAAATCCATAATAACAATAATTTTTGCTTTGTTTGATGTATATATTTTTAAATTTAAATAAATTTAATTAAAGGTCGATCCTTATGGAACCGTGCAGCCGCATACCCTCATCAGACAATTTATGGATTACAATCATTGGTATGATAGGACAAAATTATGTCTAAAAGATATACAAAACGTTATGTTTGCTTCGAGTATGAATCCAACTGCTGGAAGTTTTACTATTGATTCTCGACTGCAGAGACATTTTTATGTTTTTGCTATGGGGTAATTCTTTAGTATTGCGTACTATTCATGATTTATACATAATTTTTTTTTTCATTTTGTTATGATAACATGTACTTTAGATTTCCATCACGTGATGCATTATACTCAATCTACTCTTCGATTTTAACTCAACATTTAAAAAATCCAGTTAATAAATTCAACAGTACCGTGTTAAAATTAGGAGATTTAATTGTACAGTTGGCGATCAATTTTCATGACAAAATTCTTACAGTATTTTTGCCTACAGCTATTAAGTTTCATTATATATTCAATCTTAGAGATATGAGCAATGTTTTTCAAGTAAAATCCTACTCTATGCCTAACTAAAAAAAGAAGAAATCTTTAAATATTAATACTAATATTATTTTGTTATTAAGGGAATTATGTTCACCACGGGTGAATGTGTCTCAAATACTAGTTCTTTCATTCGCCTCTGGCTTCACGAGACTAGTCGAATTTACTGTGATAAATTGATTGAAAAAAAAGATCAAGAAACCTTTTCAAAAACAATTACTGAACAAATAAAGAAAACTTTTAGTGTGAGTATTTTATATTATTTATTCGTCTTATTACACAGTAATAGTGTTTTATTGTAACAATTCAAAACCTTTTTCATGCAGAACCTAGTAATTGAGGTAAGATAATTGTATTTTACTCATTATGCAACTATTAGTATTCAACCCTCTCAATTATTTGGGAAATATATAAAACTTATTGAATTTCAGCATAAATAATCAACTTAGGTATTATTTACAAACTGATAATTTATTTTTGAGGGTTTGAAAATTAATATTATAAGAAACAATTCATTTTATATTATTTATGACCAGAGGGGTACTCATTGTGGTTTTAATTTTTGATTCAGAAAGACCAGCAGTTTTTTCCTTTAACCATGCAAGCACAAGTTAACACTAACATACCTACAGTTTTTAAATTATTTTATTAATATATATTATAGCTAATATTTAGAAGTAAATTTAAATAACATTTTTTTTTTAATTTAAAACAAACATAATATAATATAATATAACATAATATGATTTTTAACATAATTTAATTATTACGATATTAACATACCTTAAAAAGAAAAAAACATTTTTTTTTAAAAGTATTTATAAATTCAATTTATTACTATTATCTTAAGTCTTAATCTTATGTGTACAGGATATACCAGAAAATGAATACTTGATAAGCCCATTGATATATTCACATTTTGCGGACGGTATTGGTGATCAAAAATACATGCCTGTGAGGTCATGGCCAATACTCCAAAAATTACTAAACGATGCAATGAAGTCATACAATGAATTTCTGGGGGCTATTAATTTAGTGCTATTCGAAGACGCGATGTCACACGTTTGCCGGATAAACCGTATTCTTGAACTTCCTAGAGGCAACGCGTTGCTCGTTGGTGTTGGTGGCAGCGGTAAACAATCATTGGCTCGCCTATCAGCTTTTATATCTTCGCTAGAACCATTCCAAATACAGTTGAGGTCTTCATATGGCATTGCCGATTTGAAAGCTGACCTAGCCACCTTATATCTAAAGGCAGGGTTAAAAAACATTGGCATCATGTTCCTGATGACTGACTCTCAAGTGGCCGATGAGAAGTTCCTTGTGCTCATTAATGATATGCTGGCCAGTGGCGAGATTCCAGAGCTGTTTGCTGATGACGAAATTGATAATATAATTCAAACCATCGCCCCAGAGGTTTTATTATAGGTTAGATTAGGTTCTTAATAATGTTAAATTGACAATCTATAATTTTAGGTTAAAGCATCTGGTTTACCTGAAACTAAAGAGAACTGCTGGCATTTTTTCATCAACAAAGTGAGGTCATTAATAAAAATTGTCTTGTGTTTTTCACCCGTTGGTAGCACATTAAGAGTTCGATCTAGACGATTTCCAGCTCTAGTTACTTGCACTTCTATCAACTGGTTTTACGAATGGCCTAAAGAGGCATTGGAATCCGTATCATTCAGGTTTTTAGGCGATTTGGTCGAACTTCCAGTCAAACTTAGAAGATCAGTATCTTTGTTTATGTCCCATGTGCATAGTTCAGTAAATGATATGTCACTAAGGTATTTAACAAATGATCGTCGTTACAATTATACAACGCCAAAATCATTTTTGGAACAAATTAATCTCTACATGAAACTATTAGTGTCAAAGACCAATGATATTAAGTACGGAATCTACCGATTCCAAAATGGTATTAAACAACTTTTATCGTGCGCTGCTCAAGTAAGTCAAAATAAAATGAGTTATTTATATATATTTAACAATTATGTTTGCTGTTAACAGTTTATTTAGTTGAGCTATTTTTTTTATAAACATAGGTCGATATTTTAAAAGTCGAATTAGATGTACAAGAGATTGAATTATCTAAGAAAAATACTAAAGCTGAAGAGCTAATCAAAGTGGTCCAAAAAGAAACAGAAAAAGTGAAGTATGAAAAATACAAAGGTATTATTCTTTATATTTTTTTATTAATTTATTATTTAAAATGAAAATTAATTGTTTGAAATTAACGATTATTTTTTTACAGCTGCTGAAGAAGAAGACAAAGTTAAATTGATTGAAGAAGATGTTGGTTTGAAACAACGATTGTGTGCAGAAGATTTAGAAAAAGCAGAACCAGCGTTGGTAGCTGCACAAAGTGCTTTAGATACATTAAATAAAGTAAATGCACTATGTTGATAACGTATATTAAAACTAAATACATTGGAAACAGTCAATAAATTAATTTATATAAAATATGTACAGTTATAAAAGTTTCCAAAATGAAAATAATCCATAAAGATAAATTTAAAGAATGAATAAAATAAAATACATAAATACATATATATGTACTATATATACATTAATATGTTATTCAAATATTTTTTTTTATAGTTTTCAATTGTATTTATATTATTTTTATTTTTATCGATATGCATTTAAATTATGTGTAAATTTACATGTGCATACAGATTATGGTGCATATTTTAATAAAATAGTAAAAGCTGAATGTAAATGTTTATAAAATATAAAGTACCTACTATCTATATAGTATATTATGTTAAATTTTTACTGTGTTATCTGATACATAGTGATGTCAAACATTTAACTTATTTTTGTTGTATATTTTAGAATAATTTAACAGAACTGAAATCATTTGGATCACCTCCATTAGCTGTAATAAATGTAGTATCAGGAGTTATGGTATTACAAGCCAAAAAAGGAAAAGTTCCAAAGGATAGAAGCTGGAAAGCTTGCAAGGTACCTAATTAATTTAATATTATTAAAACTATGTAATTTATATTCATTAAAATGCCAAATTATAATGTATACCTAATACCTATACCGGCTACACTTAAAATGTATTCAGTTATATAATAGAAGTATGATTTTTGAAATGAAAATACAATTCTAATTATCACATGAATAGGTAAAATAAAAACAACCCATTTTAAGTTTACAAATTAAAATTAATTATATATTATAATAAAATGAATTTAGTATAACATCTATAAAAATATAGAGTGTATTTATATATTTTTTTTACAAATTTCAATCTATTTTTATTACACATATAAAATATACATTATTCCTACTTAAGTAATAAATAGATCTATTTGGTAACCAACACTATTTTTAATGAGGTTTTATTGTTTCTTCATTGATAGCAAATGTTAAGTATTAATATTATCTACTAAACATAATATATAATTTATTTGTGTATATAACTAGGTAATGATGGCAAAAGTTGATGGATTTTTAGATTCGCTTATAAACTATGATAAAGAGCATATACACCCGGATGTAGTCAAAGCAATTCAGCCATATTTGAAAGATCCAGAATTTGACCCAGACCTAATCGCGTCAAAGTCTTCAGCTGCTGCTGGTGAGTAAAAAGTATAATTTATTTCAGCAATATAATTTAAATAATTAGTATTATTACTATTATTTATGTAATAATTATATAGGTATGCTTATTAATAATGCATATCTTCAACTATACCTACCTGAATACTGAATATATATAAATTATAATATGGGATAAACTCAGTTTTGAAGTTATTTGTTGTATACATTTTTAATAATAATACATTTATATTTATTACAATTTGTAACATTGAACTTCCATATTCAAGGTTTATGTAAATGGGTAATAAATATAATGAAGTTTAATACCGTTTGGCAAGTTGTTGAGCCTAAAAGAAAAGCTCGGGATCAAGCAAACGAAGAGCTGAGCGCTGCTAGGAATAAACTGATGGAGCTTAGAAATATGATAATTGTAAAGTTTAATTTATGAACAATTACGTAGTATTTTATATAACTTATAATTTAAGGAATTGGAAAGGAAACAAAAAATTTTAACCGACGAGTTTGATGGCGCAGTAGCTGAAAAAACTAATTGTCAAAATCAAGCTGATGAAACATCTATGAGGATTGATTTAGCAAACCGACTTGTAAATGGCTTAGCATCAGAAAATGTCCGTTGGAAAGAGAGTGTTTCGACGTAAATTATTTTAGCATTTTTTCATTAGAAGGATAGAACCATAAACAATTTTATTTTACATTTTAGATTGCAAAAAAGTTTGCAAACTTTACCTGGGGATACTCTTATGGTTTCTGCTTTTGTATCATATGTAGGTTACTTTACAAAAATGTATCGTCAAGAACTAATTCAAAATGCATGGTTACCTTTTTTCAAAGAAGTTAAGGTAAATTTATCATATGTGTAAACAAATTGAATTAAAATCAAAATGTGCAATTTATTTTATATTGAGCTCCTCAATTATTAAAATATTAATTTTCAGCCCGAGATACCAATTACAGATAATTTAGATCCGCTATCTTTACTCACTGATGATGCACAAATTGCAGCTTGGAATAATGAAGGTCTACCAAATGATAGGATGTCATCTGAAAATGCAACAATTTTAACTAATTCTGTTAGATGGCCATTGATGGTTGATCCTCAAGTACGTTATATTTTTATTTTTATAACCTTATTTGATGAGTACAGCATAGTTGTGATTATTTTGTTAAATAGCTTCAAGGAATTAAATGGATTAAAACAAAATATGGCAGAAGCTTAAGAATTACCAGACTGAACTATAAAAATTATTTATTTGATATAGAAGTTTGTGTAAGAGATGGGAACGTTCTGTTGATCGAAAATATAGGTGAAAACATTGACCCCGTTTTGGATAACATTATTGGCCGAAACTTGATAAAAAAAGGAAGGTAAACAAATTTTTCTCTGCTAAATAATACATATATTTGATTTCCATTCATATGCAATTTTAGTGCTGTAAAAATCGGTGAAAAAGAGATTGATTACAATCCAAATTTCCGTCTTATATTGCACACAAAATTATCAAACCCACATTACAAACCTGAAATGCAAGCACAGACAACACTAATTAACTTCACTGTGAACCGTGATCAACTTGAAGATCAATTATTAGCAGAAGTTGTGAAAGTTGAAAGACCTGATTTAGAAAAAATGAGGATTAATCTGACTAAACAACAAAATAGTTTTAAAATAACATTAAAACAACTCGAAGATGATCTATTACAGAGACTGTCATCAGCTGATGGTGATCAGATACTCGGTGACAAAGAACTTGTTTTAAACCTTGAAAAGTCCAAAAAAACGGCTACAGAAATTGAAATAAAAGTGGCTGAAGCAAAAATAACATCAAAAGAAATTGACTCTGCCCGTGAAGAATATCGCGTTGCTGCAACACGAGCATCAATAGTTTACTTTATAATGAATGATTTGATAAAAATAAATCCAATGTATCAGTTTTCTTTAGAGGTAAACTATAAAATTTAAGACAAGCTAATTGCTTTTAAAGTTGATTTGTGCCATTTAAGTTTATTAATTTACAGAGTATTTCTTATTTTTTTTAAAAATATTTTATTAAAATGCAACTTATTAATGTTTTTCAGATTATTTTTAAACTACATTATATGAATCAGCTATAATAATTGTTTATTATTCTCTTTTTTATTTATAAAGGCTTTTAGTGTTGTCTTCCAACGAGCTATGAGAGAAGCAGAAAAAGCAGACACATTAAATAAACGAATAGTCAATTTGGTGGATAATATAACTTATCAAACATTTATTTATACTAGTAGAGGATTATTTGAAAAGGATAAGTTAATATTCATTTGTCAAGTCACTATTCAGGTACACATACAACTATATGGTGATGAAGAGTTATTTACTTTTCATTACATGCATTTTATTTCAATTTTTAATGATTATTGAATAGTGATAAATGATAATAATTGATAAAATATATTATACTGTAGGTACAAATTCAAGCAAATAAAATAAAACCGATAGAGTTAGAATATTTGTTGAGAAGGCCAGCAATTTCTGGATTAACTAGTCCATTTGATTTTATTTCATCAAATGTATGGGGAGCTATAAAATCACTTGTTTTAGCTGATGATGAATTTGTGTAAGAAAAAAATTTGCACTATTAATAAATACTTAATTTATTATAATAATGAATCATTTATTTAAATAATGTATTTATTATTAAAGAGGTCTAGACAAGGATATTGAAACTTCGGGTAAACGGTGGCAGTTATACATTGATGGAGAAGCTCCAGAGAATGATAAACTACCTCAAGAATGGAAAAACAAAACTCCATTCCAGAGACTTTGCATAATAAGAGCTTTAAGAACTGATCGAATGACTTATGCTACTAAAGTATACGTCCAAGATGTTCTTGGTCTCAAATATACCAATTTTAGACCTCCAGAGTTCATTGATTCATTCAAAGAAACTACCTGTAAAACACCTGTATTTTTTATATTATCAGCAGGAGTTGATCCAACACGCGTAAATATTACATTATCACCTATATCTTTTAATATATAAAATGTTTTAAGCATACGCAAGTACACAATTTACTTGCTTACTACAAGCATATTATGTTATAGGACGTTGAAGCTGTTGGTAAAAAAAAAGGATTTACAATTGAAAATAAGAACTTTCATAACATATCTTTAGGGCAAGGACAAGAACAAGTGGCAGAAGATGCTATAGAGTTAAGTTCTCGGTTGGGTAATTGGGTTATGTTACAAGTAAATATAAAATTATAGTTAACCCTTAACTCACTTTAACATTAATAAGTCACTATTTATGTTTAAAAGAATGTGCATCTAGTACAAAAATGGCTGCCTTCTTTGGATAAAAGAATGGAAGCATCTTTTGAACATCCACATGTCAATTATAGAATATTCATTAGTGCTGAACCCGCCGCTGACCCACTCTATCACATTATTCCTCAAGTATTTCTTATATAAATGAAGTAATATTTAATTGTAAAATTGTTGTTTGTCTTTTTAGGGTGTCTTAGATTCTTCCATCAAAATTACTAACGAACCACCAACAGGAATGATGGCAAATTTACATAAAGCTTTAGATAATTTTAATCAAGACACACTTGAGATGTGTTCTAAAGAAGCAGAATTTAAAGCAATTCTGTTTAGTTTATGTTATTTTCATGCATCAGTACAGGAAAGATTAAATTTTGGAGCTCAAGGATGGAATAGATCATATCCATTTAATGTGGGTGATTTGACTATTTCTATCAATGTATTATACAATTACCTGGAAGCCAACAATAAAGTTCCTTGGGAGGACCTTAGATATCTTTTTGGAGAGATCATGTATGGTGGACACATTACCGACGATTGGGATAGAAGATTATGTCGGACATACCTTGAAGTCTTCATGAATCCAGATCTAGTACTATTAAAAATGTGTATATTTATACACGCAATACGGTTTCATAAATGTTGTTATTTGAAAATATAGATGGAAGGAGATCTTTTATTTGCACCTGGTTTTGTGGCCCCTCCAAATACAGACTATAAGTCATATCATGAATATATAGATGATTTGCTGCCATCAGAAAGCCCTATACTCTATGGGCTACATTCAAATGCTGAACTTGGCACACTCAGTACAAGGTCTGAAAATTTATTCCAGACTCTATTGGAAATGCAGCCTAGAGATTCTGGATCATCTGGCGGAACTGGTATGTCAAGGGATGAGAAAGTAAGTTGAATTAGCGGTAAAAATCAAATTTATTGGACATATAGTTATGAATGGTACGCAATTTATTTCTAGGTTAGACAAGCTTTGGACGACGTTCTTGATAAAGTTCCAGAACCATTTAATTTAATAGATATGATGAGTAAGGCTGAAGAACAAACTCCTTACGTAATCGTTTCATTTCAAGAATGTGAGCGCATGAATGGATTAATGAACGAAATAAGAAGATCATTAAAAGAGCTACATTTAGGATTAAAGGTATATTATATATTTGTCTAATGATTTAGAGTTATTACACTGGAAATAATAATACAGTGAACAGAAGATAGCAATCATAGTATTATAGTGTTTAGTTTAAAGTTAATTTAATAAAAAAGTAATAACAAGCAATTTACAAAAGAAACAAATTCAATATTGTTAACATAGTTAAAAATTCAGTTAAAATTTTAACCTTGAAATGCATGTTCATGTTCAACTGCATCATTAAATTTAGAAAAATGTGTTTCTATAATTTCTACAATAGAATTTTTTAGGTATTTATATTCAATCAATACTTTCATAATTGAGTTTCTTAACCCACTGTCAAACAAAGAGCCAGCTGCTGTAGCCAATGGGTACTTAGACCTCTGCGGGCAGCGATCTGGTTGTATTACTTTGCAGAGATTGCACGGTCAGCCCGCTTTGTATTTGAATGTGCCTTAATTTTAGGTGTAGGAATGGAATGTTTTTTTGTGACAAAGCACACAACAAACAATGAAACCAAATTATATTGCTTATTATAATTAAAATCTTTTCCATATTTCAATTTCCATTATGATTTTCACTAGGTACTTATATTTATTGAATTTTACATAATACATAAATGGTATTTTCTAAAATTTAGGGGGAACTGACAATAACTGCAGAGATGGAGGCGTTAGAAGAATGTTTGTTCATGGATAGAGTTCCGCCTAGCTGGGAAAAGCGTGCTTACCCATCGTTATTATCTTTAGCAGCTTGGTATGCAGATTTATTAAAGAGATTGCGTGAACTAGAGTCTTGGGTTAGCGAATTTCAGGTAAACTATAATTTATCAACAAAAAATTACTAAATTATTGCAAATATTAAAACATATATTTAATTCATTTTTGTTTTAGCTTCCATCGTCGGTATGGTTAGGTGGGTTTTTCAACCCACAATCGTTTTTAACTGCTATAATGCAGTCCACCGCTCGAAAAATGGGATGGCCTTTAGATAAAATGTGCTTACAATGTGATGTGACAAAAAGATATGAAGAAGAAATAACGTAAGCAAACAAATAATCCTAGAAATTGAGGAAACTGATATTGAATATTGTAAAACTATTAATCATGTTTATGATTTGATTTGATTTCTTTTGATTTGTAGGGTTGCACCTAGAGAAGGTGCCATGATAAATGGATTGATATTAGAAGGTGCTCGTTGGGATTTAACCACAGGTTGTATTGTTGATTCGATTCCGAAAGAATTGTTTCCAATAATGCCGGTTATACACTTTAAAGCTATTATCAAAGACAAACAAGATTTGAGAAATATTTACGAATGCCCAGTTTACAAAATTAAACTAAGAGGTCCAACATACGTGTGGACATTTAATTTGAGAACATGGCAAAAGCCATCCAAATGGATTTTAGCTGGTGTAGCAATATTACTTAGTGTATAGTTATAAATACTGAGTACCAAATAAATGTGATTTAAATTGATGTTTTGTTTATGTTTATTTAATTTGATCATTATAAATCATAAATAGGTACAATAATAATTTTAAGAAAAGGAAAAAGAAAAAAATCATTTATTGCTTTCAAAGAAATCTTTGTTTTAATTTTTGTTTTACTTATACTTTTTCTATGAAACACAATTTTACTGCAACTCATTTCTTAACATTGGTTTTCAGAGTTTTGAGAGATAAATAATAAATGAAAATATAAAATATTTATATGTATAGATAAGTTATATAATATTTTGTTACATTTTTATGATCATAATTCATAATAAATCTGACAAAAACACTCATACATATTAAGCCTAAATACATGCATCCATAATTCACCAATATTATTATAATAGTGAGAATAGCACATACCAGGGTGGTATTAAAACCCACAGCCCGAATGTGGCCATGCAAGCCTTTGTTTTTTGGCCCTCTTTAAAAAAAATATATTTAATAATTTTAGTTTTCTAAGTGATAAATTTAAAAAAAAACTATGGCGGTGGAAGTTCTTCTATAGCGTATTTAATAAGGTGATAACTTGTGTATTATACTGTATTATTATAATATGTTTGTTATAAAATAAAATATGAATAAAAATATTTTTTTCTTTTGGTGGCCTCCATACTATGTACTATGTGCTATGTGCACGAATCAGTTAAGTATTATTAATATTTTTTACTATTGCAATTTTTACATAGAAGTATGTACTATTCTCCCTCCATTTTACATAATAAGTATGTTTTATTACTATACTTATATATATAATAATTTGTTGTTTTTTTCTTTTTGAGCCATTTGCTTGCCCTAAGCTTTGTTTTGTCGGTCTTCAGTGATCTAATAAAGTGTCAGATTTCCTTTTTGAAGTGAGTATAATATATATTATCCTTCATTAGTCAATTTACTAATGTAGGAAAATGATTTTTTTCCAGTTAAAAAATATGACGTCACACAGCATCATCAAGCTTTTGTGCATCATTAATTTTATTGATGACTAGCTGCCCGACCTTCCTCCGGAAGAAATTATTTTTTTATATTTTAATTTAAAACATAAGACTATTTTTTGGCTATACAAATAATACAACGATTATAAAAGAAAAAGAAACAGACATCGTTATCGGTGAATATATGAAAATAATTGGTAATTAGTTAATTATTATTATTATTATAATGAGGGTTCAAAACCAGTTTCCTTCATCTCCAAAATCAAGTTAGATTCTTATATATATAGATAAAAAAATATTTTCTGAAGGAGAAAATTCTTTTGAATGTGGCTATGTCAAAAGTCTTAATTACATACCTGATGTGGGTATACTTAGTCTTAGTGGTCAAGTGCATGCAAGTATGAAAAATAAATTGTATGATGTTAAGGTAAATAACTTTGTGATTTTGATTGTATCATTTATAATATGATTCCTAAAATAATTGTAATATTTAATCTTTACAGATAATTTTCAAAGATAAAAATATTGAACATGCCAGCTGTACATGTCCGACAGGTTTGACAAAATGCCATCATATGGTTTCACTTCTTTTACATGGGCATACTAATATATCTGTAACTGATATATCATGCAGCTGGTCAAAAAAATCTGTAAGAGAAAATGATGAAATATTGATTATTGATGATATGTATGAAAATAATTTTAAAGCTGTTACTGATACACACAATATTGATTTTAAAGCTTTATGCTTTGATAAATTAACAGCAACTAATCAAACAGTTGGATTTTCATGGTTTTTAAGTCCAGAACCTCCAGTTGAAGATTTAAGTGATATTCTTCTATTGGAAAATGTTCTTAATTCTTCAGAATTTAGAAATTCTAAAAATAGTGTTCAAATGTTGTCTGACATTTGTAAGTTATCTTTTGAACAGGTTAAAGATATAGCTTCAATGACCATAGGGCGATATGCAAATGTAAAATGGTGTCTTTCTAGGAAATTTTGCCTTACTTCGAGTAATTTTCATAAAATAATAAAATCGGTCAAAAGTAATCGATATCCTAATTCACTTTTTAAAGGTCTCTTAGGAAAATATTTTGTGGATGGAGTTAAATCGATTGAATGGGGGAAAACTCATGAAAGTATTGCAATTGAAGAGTTTGAGAAGGCTAACAATTCTATTGTGACTAAAACTGGCATTTGGTTACATGAATCTGGATTTTTGGGAGCCAGTCCAGATGGTTTGCTTTTCGATGAAAACTCTTTTTATTGCATTGAAGTTAAGTGTCCTTATAAATTTTAAAAATTGCACTTTCAAATTCAAAAGATTACATCATTAACTTTAATATAAATAAAAATGATTTCGTTTTAAATTCCAACCATGAATATTATGACCAAATACAAGGTCAAATGCACATGACAAAAATGTCATCTGCAATTCTTATTATATGGACTACTAATTCTTTAGTTGCTTTCAAAATGTATAAAGATCCAAATTGGTCATCAAATATTGATATTTTATTAAATTTTTACCATCATAAATTCATACCTTATATTTTAACAGACAATTAATTTTTATGCATAACAATATTTATAACCTTCTATATATTCCATTTTATATTCTTGAAATGGATAGTTTTATAGTCTAGGAATTTCTTATAAAAATAATTTAAAAAAAAATATACTTGGGTTAATTTCATAATATAATTATAACAAATGGATTAATAAAACTTACATTTTCATTATAAAATTTATATCTTTTATGGCTTTATAATATAATATATATAATAAATAATTACATAATATAATTTAAAAAAATTTTATTTGTGTACATAGTAAATAATTATCATTATATTATAATTTTTTTAACAAATAAAAACTGAATATTGGAATTTATATTTTATGTGTTGTCATTATTTACAAACAGATGCTCAACTTCTTTTATTATTGGATTTTGGAAATTTACCAATGCAGCACATAATTGAAATACTAATGATGACTTTGTATAAAGCGCTTTTGGTTTGTATGTTAAAATTTTAAACTTCTTCAGCCTAACCATCACCCTTTCAACATGAATTCTGGCTCTAGCTATGCTCTTTGTTTTCAGAACTTCACTTGGAGTGAATTGTGGAGACATAAGAAAAGGGGGAATGTTTAAGGAAGTTTCTGGAGGCATTAAGTCTGAAATTAGGAAGCCTTTATCAGCTAACACTAAATCACCTGGTTGTAATATATTTAATACTCCACAGTGGCCTACAATTTTTTTATCAGAAGTGGATCCAGGATACAATTTACTAGCATAAGTAATAACACCATTAGGAGCCACTCCAATAAGCCCTTTCAATGTATTTTTATTTTTATTAGAACTATATGTGAGCTTTTGATCCAAAAGGGATTTAGGAATATTTCATGAAATTTCAGTACAATCTAATGTTATTCTACAATTTTGAAAATTATTGAAACATTCTGGCAAGCAATTTTGGTTCTTATTCTGTGAAGGTACTGTATTCATTAAGTTAATAAATAAAATTTCATGAAGAACACTTATTAATGTTAATATAATATTACCTACTGTGGATTCCCTAGTCTTAAATCTAAATGCTAAATCTGGATAAGCTAAATTCAATCTTAGTTTTATAAGAGTCATAAGGATTTGGTCTTTTAAACAAAATTTTTCAACATTCCAATCAATAATATTTAAAAGAAACTTTTGAACATAAATCAACAATTGTATCAAACATAGATTTACTAATCCCACAGTAAAACTCAAATAATTTGTTATCAGATTCAATAGAGTGGTAACCAAAAAGGTTATTTTTAAGACGTCCAGCCTCAAAACCATAGTTTCGGGCGGAAGTATATAGTTCTGGTTTAAATTACCATCACAATCCAGAAGACAATGGTCTCACGAACCACGTAAAAGGGATTCAGCGAGACTTACACAAAGAAGCGCTAAATAAGACAAAAGCGTTTTCTTTCAGGTCGGTCGCTGTTGACATGGCATCACCCACTCAGTTGAATTGTGGTAATTTGCATGGCATTAAATCAGATGACGTCGTCAGAAAAATCAGATCAGAGGCCTTAAGTGCCGATGATTATCATACAGATGATTTTCATGACCTTGTATAATATGTGTAATGACAATGAAAACAACTTTGTAAAGCATGTCGGCACACCGTCCGTTCACTGTTATAGTAACGAGCAGTTGGACATACTCAAAAATCTGATTAAAAAACAAAAACCAGTAACTGGGTATTTGGATGTAACTAGTACAGTGGTCAGGAAAATTGACAAGAACAGCAAAAGGGTTCTGTACTATGTTCTAGTTGTTTATGTCCCATTACCTAGAGACTCAAGTGTCACGTGTCCTGTTGTTGAAATGATTAGTTCAGCACACAACATTGTTGCGATTTCACAATGGCTGAACGCTTTTAAAGCATTCGTTTTGTAACACAAACTGACTTGGCCAGTATTCACAAATATCTTGACAGATTTCAGTTATGCCCAAATGAATGCCTTGTGTATAGGATGGAATGGTTTTACTTCCATATTCGACTACCTTAACTGGTGTTACAGAGTACTGCAGGTTGAAAACCACGACGAATCTAATCTCACCATCATAAATATATGTGCAAATCATTACACAAAAATTATAGTAAACCATGTCCACACATATTTTCAATCTGAGATAAACCATCGTATGGCTGTAAAAAAAATGAAAAGAAATGATGTTATTAATTGTTACGTTTTTAACACAATCAGTTTGACAGATGTTGAACAATGATTCAAAATATTGTCAGTAATACCGTTGTCACCTTATGGTATAGGACACACGAAAAATGCCATTAGTACAATGAGAGCCAAGTGTTATGATAAATACCAATTGCCAAATGAATCGAACAACGAAGGTGAGGATCACTCGGAGGAAATAAATACATTTCTATGCGAATCCAACACGAGTAATTCCATGATGTGTAGATTTCAGTCAATCAAAGAACAGGTTAAATCTGAAGCCTCAAATTCTGCTGAAAATATTGAAAATATAAGCATTAA